CCCAGGGGGACAGCTTGAGGCTCTGTCTCAAAAAAAAAAAAAAAAAGATATTCTTGATTCTTAACTCTCATCATTCAGTGGAATCAGCAAGTCCTATAAGTGTATTTCTAAACACACTCAAATTTCACCTTACTCTTACATCTCCACTGCCTGGTCCTCACCTGTTTCGTGCCTTGCCCTCTAAGCCTCAGGGCTTCCCATGCACACACACCCCAACTCCACCTGCCTGTCTCTCATTCTTTTTTTTTTTTTTTTCTTTTTAGTGAGACAGTCTCAGTGTTGTTCTTGGTAGAGTTCTATGGTGTCACAGACAGCTCACAGCAACCTCAAATTCTTGGGTTTAAGTGATTCTCTTTTGTCAGCCTCCCAGGTAGCTAGGACTACAGGCACCCGCCACAACGCCCAGCTATTTTTAGAGATGAGATCTCACTCTGGTTCAGGCTGGTCTCAAACCTGGGAGCTCAGGCAATCCACCTGCCTCAGCTTGCCAGAGGGCTAGGATTGCAGGCGTGAGCCACTGTGCCCAGCCCAACTTGGCTTTTTTCATTATTGTACTTAGCATGCCCATGGAATCTTGTGTGTTGCATTTGTCTCTCACTAAAACCAAGGTCTCATGAGCCAGGAGTGAGACTTGTTCATGGCCACATGTCCCAAGGTGCAGGGCAGCACCTGGGACGACCACAGCAACTTGAGACCTATGAAAAGTGGTGTTCCTGTGGCCAGAATATGTGAAATCTATTACAGAGCAAAAAAATAGAACTAAAGGCTGGGCATAGTGGCTCAAATCCATATTCCCAACATTTTGGAAGCCCAAGGTGGGAGGATTGCTTGAAGCCAGGAGTTGGAGTTGGCCTGGGCAACTTAGTGAGACAGACTTCCCTCTACAAAAGATAAATTTAGCCAGGTAGTCCTAGGCTGAAGCAGGAGGATCCCCTGAGCCTAGGAGTTAAGAGGCTACAGCCAACTATGACAGTGCCGTTCTAGCCTGGGTGACAAGAGCGACACTCTGCCTCTGAAAAAACAACAAAAATAAGGCCTGGTGCGGTGGCTCATGCCTGTAATCCTAAATAGGCTGAGAGGGCTGGATTGCTTGATCTCAGGAGTTTGAGACCTGCCTGAGCAAGAGTGAGACTCCCATCTCTTCTAAAAATATAAAAACTAACCAGGCGTTCAGGCGGGCTCCTGTAGTACAACTACTTGAGAGGCTGAGGCAGGAGGATTGTGTGAGCCCAGGAGTTTGAGGTTGCTGTGAGGTACGACACCATGGCACTCTACCCAGGGTGACAGAGTGACGCTCTGTCCCCTACCCACCCCCCCAATAGAACTAGACAAAAAGGGCTCTCACATTGGACTATAACA